ACAAAATTTAAAGAACACGAGTGTTTAACCTCCAGCTAATCTTGTCTTTGTGAGAATGAAGGGATTAGACCATTCGTTTCTGCATGCCTGGAAGGGTTAGGCCAGTAATGGGCTTGATGTATGACAAAAATGGCTCGGGGAAGGGATCTGCCAACTGACACAGGAAGACAAATGCGCTGGTGGCCTGACAGCTCCAAAAAGAGGCTTAGCTTAATTCCTGACCTGCATCAAAATAGAGCATTACCATGCCATGACACTAATTGAAAACAAGCAGTTTAAGCGAAACCAGTGTTATAAGCACGAGCCAAACATTTTAATTTCTTCGTTATTGCGTCTTCTGATGGAAGGGAGCATCAGCACACGCTGTTCTTTTGATTAAACGGGATGCAAATTAGATTTAAACACCAGTGCCATTATGACCCAAGGGTCTATTAAGGACTCTCTGTGCTTATTATTTAGCTTTACTCAATTAGTCTGTAGCCAGTCCAGCTATTGAATTGTGCCATGTGGCCTGTAGCATTCATTACCGACTAGTCTGTTCTCCTCTCTGGAGACTTATAGTCTCCGCCAGCATTCATCTCATTACGGATCTGGAAGTTTATGAAGTATTGCATTCTGCAAGCACCTTTAAACTTTTTGGGATTCATGTTTAGTCCGTTTCTCCACACACATTTACTGTTCCCAGCGTTTGAATGACCCCTACGGCTGTGTCATCCTGTTCAATACAAACAGCTCATCACAAGGGATTTGGAGCTCAGTTCAGGCAAATAAGTTGCTCCTTGTGTTTCCCTCCTCCGTGGACCCCTGGTGTTCGCGAAAGGAGGTCTAACCCCTCGGAGAAGCTAGCAATCCATTATGGGGCTCTCAAAAGACCTTTCACTATAGATCCAGCAGCACTGGAGAAAAGGCCCAAATTGACAGCTCTATACAAAAGAAATTTACTGCTTTGCTTTATGTGCATGAGTGCTGTTCAAAAGGAGGTAATTGCAGGTTGTATAGATGGGCGAATCCCTAAGGGATTTCCCCCCTTCATCACATTTGCATTCACTATTAGCGCCCCCCCTGGGAGGGATCAGTAAATGTCACGGTGAAACCAAAACATCATCTGCCGTATGGCAGTCATGAAAAGGCTAATGCTGTAAAAATAGAGATATCCTACTCTGTTTATTTTTACAAATCTGCTTCCCTCATTTTACACTGTTGTCTTTGCTTTGACACAATAACTGCAACATTGTGTGTGCTGTGCCACTGTTAATACACTCCTGTTCTAAAGTTTTGGAGTGGTAAGATTTTTTTTAATGTTCTTGAGTGAATTCTCTAATGCTCACTAAAGTAAAAAGAGAAATATTATTACAATTTAAAATATCAGTATTTTATTTCTGTGATGGTAAAGCTGAATTCTCAGCATCATTACTCCAGTCTTCAGTGTCCTTCAGAAATCATTCT